TTGGGATTGCTTGTGAACTACTAATTAGCCTTTTTGATTCAATCAAGTACCCCACTTGAGCATTGAAATTCCCAGCGACTATGACGATGTCCGTTGACTAAGCAATTTGGAGCAGTTGAGAGAGGTCATTGTAGAATGTATCTTGCATTTCTGGCAAACTGTCATCAGTCGGTGCATACACAGATATAAAGAATAAGCATCGATGCCTCGTTCTGTAGCTATTGACCAGTACTGAATTATTTAGACGTACGGCGCAAAGTCGGTTGATAACTGGTATCTAGTCAAGAAGTGAACGCTTGGCCTTGACACCTAGCGTAATCTGGACGCACACAACACCACGAGCTTCGGATGATGCATCACCTGACACACGGAGAGTGAAACGTGAGGATTAGGTTGGATATGGAAATCGCAAGGTGATGATTAAAGCGAGGTCTTGTATGCGTATTTCGGAGACACAGTATACATCTAAGGCAGCTCGTTGACCGATTTGATAGAGTGTGCATACATTGAATGCGGCTAACTGAAAAGGAGATTTTGGTTTCAAGTCCAATAGCTTCCGAGTGGCTGAACTTAGCAGTTGAACGTTGAGTGATATTCCATGGATGACGAAAACGGAACGTATCTCCTGAAGTTTTGGAGTGAGAAGCGGAGGGGTACAGATGAGAAAGAGGGTTTTCTAAATGAGTACCTAAGAGTTTTGAGCACGAAGTACCTCGTACCACGAAAAACCACAGGGACGAAGGGATTTTTCTTTGGGAACACTAACGGAGCCTCCTAGTCGAAATTCTGATCCACAAGGCAGTNCATGACCGATGCATCCGTGTGGGAGCTTCTAGAGACCGGAATAAAATTCACTGTTCTCTGGTACGCTGATTAACGGTCCGCTTTTCGGCATCGGCCCTTAGCATTATGCACCCACTGAGACAGGCGGAACGCGGAACGCGAACGGGACAGCACTTTATTAACTGGGGGCTGCGAAGACCTCCCATCGTCAGGAGGAAGCCCCGGGTACCCCACTCCTAGGTCTATCTAGCGGGGTTCTTTGACCAGGAAACTACCGATCCTCGAGTTTAAATGCTGGACTGACCTCTTTAGGGGCGATTGTGGATATTCAAGGTAAGCCAGGAAGTCCCCAAGCCGCTGGTTTTGTGAGAGTGATCTTCGTCTGGCCTCCACCCATTGACCTTTGAGGTATGATTGGGTCTACGGCTGTGTATCGAAGGCAGGGTCATTGAGGCAGACAAGCCATCACACTACATCAAGGCGCAGTCTAGTCGTGATGGGTTCACCAACACACCGAAACAAATGACCATCGAAAGTATTCCACCGACTGAAATCTGCAAACAGAAACGACGCTGTGAACGAACTAGTGAAACTCATCTGTGTGGAAACATCCTATTTGACAGAAATTTGTACCGGGTGCTACGAGGGACTTTCACAGTTTCGCTACATTCAGGCTTACTTGTAAATGTGGTTATGAAACAAGTTAAAGTCAAGGTCTTTGAAATACTACAACCTCGTCTACAGATACGGTATGTGGAAGACATTTGTGATACTCAGGGCTTCTGTGGTGGGCCAGCTCCACCAATTCATCAACGAACTGGTACCTGGGATCAGGTTTCCATAAGAGAAGAAGAAAAACCGTAAAATTGTATTCCTCGGTATCTTTCCAAGGAGACAAACAGGCAAAACAGTAAATACCTTAGTCTATCACAAAACGTCCACGTCAGACCGCATCCTCAATTACGATGGCAACCACCCCTGCACTACCTTCAAACTTGTGTATCAACCCTATTCCACCCAGCACCAGACCGGAACTGAGGGCAACAGAATGACATCGACACTTTCAACTGTTTCTACGTAACGGATGCTTCAGGCTTTTCATCACTGCGTTCCAACAGAGGTCAAAAACAACCGACACATGCAAAAGAGATAATTAGGACAACGGGTCGTGTGTAGGTGGCCCGTCGGAAGCCACCCAACAAACACTTTGACCGTTGGAAATCAAGGTAACCCATAAACAATTAACAACCGTGAGTGAGATCGATCCCTTTTAAAGCTGTATATCAAGTCAAACACCGCGAATGGTCAGATATAATCTATACAATCTCGTGACTAGGTTGTGACCAACACTGCGTCGATGAAACAATCAAACGTCTACACACTCGACTAAACTAACACAAGCTTGCCCTCCAACGCACCCAAGGTCACAAATCTGGGACCACAACGCACAGACAGGTCACGAGATCGTGGTCGATAACGCAAACGTGGGGGCGCAAGCTAAAAAGAAAGAGAAATTAGTTCTCAAAGATTTATACACGACCATTTCATTCAACAAATACGTCAAGTTAAACAAACCTAAAGTCGCAGTCACGAAACCCTTGACGAGTGCTGAACTTTGTGACACATGGGCGCATGAGAAGATGGTAATGCAATACTCTCATTCATTTCACTGAAATGGTAACTAGTTGGTAAAGAGTCCTAGTTTGGATAAAAATGTTGCAATGAGCAATTTGCAACTCAGTTTGAATCTCCATTCTTTTTTTAAATCGCGCGCCCTCTCTCTGGTGGTCAAGTGGTGAAGATTATCATAATTTTTTCCTTGAAATCGCGAGTTCCAACTGCTCCACTCCTGTCTATCTACCCCGTTTCTATATTTTCCCAGGTAGCCTTTGTATGGCCGTGGCGTTCTTCCTGAAGGTTGACTGCGCATTTGTGTATTCAATGAATGAAAAGGGAAGTAAAGAGACACACATATATAAAGAAAAATTATGGCCCTTCTCATGGAAACAAAGCAACATGAAGACCTATTCGGAATCGTCTAGAGATTCTCTGGCCGACGCTCTTTGACAAAATCATCTTACAACCATATTGCATCCAAATCTAATTTCAAAAAATGTCTGTCAATGCCCAGGTTCGACCATAAACGTTCCCATAACGAAACCAGGTAAATCGCTATTGTGTCACCCCGCCCATCCCATCATCATCAGGTTGATTTACTGAAGTTTGGTATGAACGAAACTGATTTCGAGTAAACACCAAATTTTAATAAGTGCGGACCATGTTTTCAAATCCTTCCGAATCCCCAACGGTTGTTCACAAATACCTTTTATATCTGACCGGTCTGTGCGCTGCGAACTGAAGTATAACCTTGAAATCAGTTATGGGACCATTTTTAGACTATTTATCACCAATGTTTCATTCTTTGGGCCTCCCAGTTCTCAGGGCGAGATAAGTGTTCCACTGTGTTTAACAAATATCGTCAATCGATTTCACTGTTCTGAGAGCTCAGATGAAGGTTTTCTCCAGAGGACATTTTTGTGTTTAGGCACACGGTAGCATTGAACGTGGTACTTGTTTTGAAGCATGTGGCACTGCTAAACAGATTGTAGCCCTGGAAACTTTCAGCATGAAAAGCTCACTTACAGATATTTGTGCCTTAAAACGGGATCAAATGAATCAGTCTGCATTGGTTAAATATTTGTGTGATCGATCGGAGGATCACATGAACGGAAATTCAGCTGAATGCCTATTTTTTGAAACAAATTGGTATAGGGACATTCAGAGGTTAAACTGGTTAAACTTCCCAACTCATAAAACGAAAGCGTGCGATATTGTTGTGTCTCTCCAAACTATCACAGGACCTGGTCTCCCGATGCGTATCCCAACGATTCCAGTAAGAAGACAGTTGGAAAACAGTGTGAGTCTTTATTGGTATCACCAGCCAAAACGTGGTCATGGTCAAGTACGGAATAAAAAGTGATATTTATGGGGTTGCTCACTGTTTCTGACAGATATAAGTTGGATTGCTATAGAATCGATAAGTGTGTAACTGAGACGAAATCGTTTAAGCATATTATAGTAGAGTGGAATCTCATCGGGCAAATATTACCAATTCAATCACGCTAGCCATCGAGATGATTTGATCGTTTCCTACCGTGTCCGGTTTTACCGGATTCGATGAAATGTTTGTGTTCTCATCAAGACAAAACATCCAAGAGAATGCTAGCACGTTAGATGACCTACACGGGGCACCAGGTTATCGATTGAATGAAAAACAGACTCTGTACTACCAATTTGTTCATTGCTCGAGACAAATAGAAGAAGGCAATCGATGAGGACGGTAAGATTTATCTAGAAATCTTCAAAACACCATATTTTGATGAACTACTTCATCTTGTTTCACAAATGTTGAAGTTACGATTCTCAGAATCTCGCGCATTTTTAACTTGAGGTGTTTTCCCAACAAACTATTGTAACATTTTATGTTTTTAATTCAGTGCTGGTATCTACGGGCGTTCTCCACAGAGTTTCGTGGGGATCTATGTTTGACTTCCAACTTATTCTTACTTTCATATGCAATCCACACAGTGTACCATGACCAAAAACTATACTGTTTGCAATTGTTTCCGAAAACTGAAGCACCATGACAAGCAGAGTTCTCGATAGAGTTCTAGACACATGACAAGAGGGTAATCAACGTTGTCTGAAAAGGTCGTTTGTTATTTCACTCATCCCTTACGAGAGAGAGATTCACACGCACAGAGAGAAACATGAAGCAAAGCGTGTTCCTGATAAAGATAGTTTTGTAATCGTGAACAACCCAAATGAGCGTGACTTAAATTTGTTTCATCACGTGGTTGTAAAACCCATCGAGAATACGCCGACATATATGTCGGTGTATCAAAATGAACGACCGTAATCCGTGAACTGTGCTTTGAGTACGATACAGAAACGTGTTTGCTGTTTACTAGAGCGTGATTGGTTGATTGTGAGCAATCGGGCACCAATTTTACCTCACGTGGTAAACGCGTACCTGATTGGTTTGATTTGTAAGCCATTCACCGTTGGCCTGTATTTTGTAATGCTAGCAAACAAGTGTATTGTCAAAACGAACTATAATCATTGCATTTTGAACACTTTTATCTGCGATGTATTCATTCCGTGAGCAATCCACCAAGGGGGTTACGAAGTCTTAGTCTTTTTCCCCTTCCTTGAGTATGCCCAAATCGTCCTGTGTCTGTTCCTGTCGTCGAAAACGACGAGAGAAAGAGACACGGATAGTGTACGCGAATCATGGTCCGGAGTATCTCATTCCCGAGGCGGATCGTAAAGTTAAATTCTGCAACAACGCCATCATCTCATCCCGATACACATGGTATAATTTTGTGCCTAAAAATCTGTTCGAACAATTTCACAATATGGCCAATGTGTTTTTTGCCATGATCTCAATTCTCTACGTGTTTGCAAGTCCGACCACGAGTATATGGTCCAATTTGGGTCCACTAATGGCAATTCTGGCCATTATCATGGTCAAAGATGGAGTGGAAGACATTTTGAGACATCGTCGTGATCGAGCTCTAAACCATATCCCCGTGAATGTGCTAGAAGTGAATTGGACCGATGAAACTGTCAAATGGACGCAGAAGAAGGCAATGAATTTGTCTGTCGGTGATGTGATTAAATGCGATCGGGGAAAGGCATTTCCGTGCGACATAGTCCTACTGGCTTCGAGTAACACAACCACCGAGGTAAATGTGACCACGGCCAATCTGGACGGGGAGTCAAATATTAAAAAATATTTTGCTGTAGGTGAAACACAAACAATTTATCATCAGGTTGCCAATCCAGATTGGCTTGCTGGTCCCAACGGTGCCCTGTTCAGTCAATTAGCCAAACAGTTGCATGTTAAAGTGGAATGTCAACCTCCGTGTGCAGATCTCACTCGATTCGAGGGTCGAATGAGCTCCACTCTTTGGGATACGGAAGAACCGATTCCGTTGACGTTTCCCAACCTGGCACTCCGAGGTGCGAAACTGGCCAATACGGAATTCGTCCTCGGTTTAGTCGTGTACACCGGTAAAGATACCAAACTGTCCCTGAATGGTAAACAAGCAAAACGGAAATACAGCTCGCGAGAAGCACGGTCCAATATCATTCTGCTTAGTTTCATCATCGCCATGATAGTCATCTCCATCATTTTTGGCATTGTGTACACTGTGTGGACCAGTCAGAATAAAGCGAATATGTGGTACCTATCTAACGCACCACAAACTTCATGGGAATTTGTTCAAAACGTGTTTCGTTTTATTGTGATTGTGAATTATCTTATTCCGATTTCTATCATATTCATCATCGAATTTCAACAAATGTACATCGCGTTTACCATATCCAGTGATTTGCAAATGCACGATCCGGTGGAGGATCAAGCAAGCAAGGCAAACAGTGCCCAAGTGGCCGACGAATTGGGACAAGTGGAATTTTTGTTCAGTGACAAAACTGGCACTCTGACACAGAATGTGATGCAACTACGTACCTGTGCTGTACTGCATCAGAACGGCACCGCGGATGTGTACGAATTCGCCCATGCACAGTCTGAGTACAGTTCAATTGATGGGACAAGATCCCCATCTCGCGGACGACATTCGGGTGCTACGGAACGGGAAAGTGTGTTCTCATCTTCCTCGTCGTCTGAAAATGAAGATGATAATGATGATGCCAGGTACGAGGGGAAGCGGGACTCGAGGAGTGGTGGTAACGGGTCAAGTAGCACTAGTAAAGAGAGTTTCCGGTTGAATGCAAGAGCACCGAAGCGGAACTATCTCAAACCGGTAGTGGAACCGAATGGAACACTGGAATATATTTTAACACTGTTTACACTGTGCCACACAGTAGAATTAGACGAGAATCAGGAGGAAGGACAGGTCATGCCGAAATATGAAGTGAGTCACACACACATTATGATGAACGATTAGCTATTTTGAATGGAAAACCGAATGTAGCCGTGTGGTTCCAGCGGATTTGAAAATTTTATTTATTTTAAAATGCCGTTGGAGGACTGTTGAAATAACAAAGAAAGATGACTGAAATCTCATTGCTGAACCCGGGCTATTGGACATACAATTACAATTAATTTTAGCATGCTGAGCTTTACTTAAAATCGATGAAAAAAATTATGTTTGTGATTTTAAGGCCATTCACCGGCACTCTAACCTATGGAATGTGCATGACCTCAAATTGAATTGAATGACAACGTTTTTTGAACAGATTCTGCTTGCCATTGTATCGTACTGTATTGTATTACAGACAAACGGGGGTACAAATCGCATAAAGACCCCACACGTCAAACACCATATATCAATATTTCACAAGCATCATTGAGAATGACTTATAGGTCCGGGTAAAACATAACCGCGCCTACTACCTTCTCCATTTCGGTCAAGATGCATGCCAGTTGAGGACCACAGGAATNTATTTGAACTTGCCCACCTAATTTCATATGTTGGTATTTGGAGAGTGTGAGGGGATATGTATGACGTACTGCCTACCCAGTGTAAAAAGGATGGTTTAGGTCCCGAGAAAACTCTTTTTGCATATTTATCACAACAATCTATAGGAACATTGTACAGTCGGCTCGATCACCGATATTAATAAAATATACCTAAAAGCCTTCAAAGGGCAGGATCGATTTTTCAACCCAATGTAGTACGCCAAATAGAATACGCAGAGAACAAAAAAGTGATACAGCGAAGAAACCCTGATAGAGAAAAGAATTAATAACTGGTTGTGAGGTACAGTATCTAACCTTCTGAGTTTGAAATGATACACACCAACGGTTTTCTGCATTTCTATCAGTGTGGAGTAACCTTTGGTTTGTTTATTCCAATTGAACAGAACAGCAGTTTAAGGGTGAGAGGTGAACTATCGTCAGAGATCACTTTTATTTCCTTTGTTATTGATATTAAAATCGTTCCTTCTAAAGTCCAGTTTGTGCTTCGGGTAATTATTTCCCCTACTTTGCGGTCATGTTAACTGAATTGACTGCACGAATTACAGACACTTCTATTGAACTATAACTTTGTTGTTCGTGTAACCTATACATATCCTATTCAGGCCTTATGTGCTTCACCAATCCAAGTCCCATTGATAAGGCCGCAAGTTGTCATTAGTTAACATTAGGCCTTTGCAAATGAGAATTGATACTCCTCTAATGTTTCTAATGGGCACCCGGAAACCTTCGTTTCTGGTTTACGGTGGTTTCCTTACATCGCTCGTCAGATACTGCAATCAATGACTTCCACAATAAAACTGTTTTGTTTTAAATTTTTGAGAGGATTCAAAAAGTTTAGTGATAATGATATAAAATTATTCCGAAGCAGAATCAAAAACATTTCGATCGAATTAAACGAGTTTTAAATGGGTAAATATGTGCAAACAAATGTGGGAGTGCGCTCGCGAGAACTCAATACAGCACAACATACAGCAGAACTCACAGAGAAAACTCTGCGCTCGATCGTTCATCGCATTCTATCCGACCTATTTGGGTAAAACAATAGCATAAACAAAGAAAAATGGACTAGTTTTTAGGTTGTTAGGAAATATTGCTTAATTAAAATACAGTTATGCTTGACCTATTTGGAAAACGTTGCAATCATTTCTCTGTATAACTGATATGCACGCAATTCTTTACACTGTGATTGATAGCAAGTCATGAGGTGAAGTTACATCCGCTTTGTTATAGAATTGTCATGGAATTTACTAAGGAGATACCAAATCATAGTTTGCTTTTGTATTGACCACTCACTATATGTAAAAAGAATGTCACTCTATGGAACGGTATTTAAAAGTAGAATCGAGAAAGACCCTAAGCACAAGATTGTTTTGGACATTATCAATCTGTTAAACATAATACACGTACGAACCGAGTTAGAAAAATGGAGTTGAGTTTTTTCAATCTGGCATACATTGTTGGCATTAGATGCACTGACTCTAGCAGACCGGATATCCTGACACTTGTCCCCATTTGACACGTGATTCCGTATACTGAATCAGAGAATTCCATAGTGACACAAATAAAACTGCTACATGAAAAGTCCTGAAGTCTGTTTTGATATTCGACATTCGGTTCCATCAATCCGGATACTGAAAGAGAATAGTATCAGTCAAATTGGATCATTTGGAATAGGGTTTTGAACGTTTGTAGGAAAATTGATAGACATACTCATAAATCAATATCACTGTCCTTTGCCGATTGCTCTATTGCTGAGGTCTACGCATATATGGATTTCCACTGCCAACCAAACCGTTGAAATTGTTCTTTCTAGTGCATTTCTGTCTACCCGGTGCAATGGCACGAACGTCAGTTTAGGTCTCCCCTTGTCAGAGAATCGTCGTTGCACTACGCAAGATACCGACGTTGTAGTAGTGGGAAGCTTTTAGTGAATATATGGTTAGTGGGAACTAAACAACTGACTTCAGTAAACTCTTCAATGCAAATTTTATTCCTTCTCCAAATGCCAATGACAAAAGTGATTGAGTATACTTTTCTACGTTCAACACAATGAAACAACCAATCATTTTCATTGATCACACATTCTGCTTGTTATGGCCGCAAAGATGCTCAATTCTACCACTTTAATTTTTTTACTATATATATGATTTTCTGAGTTAAAAGGGAGATTTATTTAGAAACTGTCCTTTGGGCGATCCTAAATCGGCTTTGGGTGAGGTGAAGAGGACGCGATGTTTAGACGAGATTTGGTGTTCCCGTGTTTCTTTATTGGCCTACAGGGGCAACAACCATACATTCCCTCATATACCTGGAGTTAACTGACGGTAAAACACGTGTTAAATGCAGTCAAATAAATCTATTTTTCGCTTGCGGAAACTCCCAGATTTAAATCCAGGATGTGGAGTGGTGAACAAAATGAAAACTCCAACTCGTGGTTTTAAGCTGAAAAAGAGCTAAACTGCTGGTTTCAATCTCGGAATTGAAATTCACTGCACAAACAAGTGATAGCCTTTCAAATAGACAGACTGTTCGAATACAAGCGCCAGCACCACCGCTATGTGGTCACCATGATGCATGCTTTACCTTCCGGAGAGTCAGTTTTAGTGCTAAAGAATGTTAGGCAGACTGTAAATGAACAATTCATGGTAATTAGTGTGATCGGATAGCTTGCAATAATGGTATTATGGTATTTGACGAGAGAAGAACCCATTCTGTATATGTTCCGTCCAGTTCTTAAACACAAGTTCCTGACAAATACTACTATGTAAAGAAATGCACGAAGGATTGACATACGACTGGGGTCACAGTTCTTGTCGCTCAGCAGGCATACTGATTTGGTACTCCACTGCCCTTGTAAGCTACTCTGGTTTACGAATTTCCAACAGAAACGTTTGAACTCTTGAATAAAAGCTGTCTAAAGCCCTCGATTCTTGAACATTATTCATACAGTTAAAGGTTGCACAGAAAAACAAAATATTTATACCATTTTATACCAATTTCCTGAAAACCTTCAAGTTTGACTGTTTTTCCCAGTTGAGTAAAATTACTTTTTTCCACACCATGATATTATTTTGATCGGACAACAATTATCATCACCGCCACCACCACCTCGAAAAAACACAACCAAAAGAACAACACAAGAACAACGATAATAGCAACTTCAGTACCACTACGATCACCACCACTATCACGGACGCCATCAGCAGATATTTATACAAAATGAACTGCATTTCATGCTAAGCAGAACATAATGTGGACATGCAGAAAAATTTGAAGTGTTGTAGAATTGTTATGATTTTTCGGTAATATTATTGTTACGAATCCATCGATCCAATCGGTTATTGAACCGAAACTGTCAGTAGACAAAGCTGTTAATGTATGGGCACCCACAGTTTGACTACTATGCATTACCTTGTTGATGAAAATTGTTGAACTTTCGCAACCTTTCGTCAAATCTACCTCGACTTTGCTCAGCATCGATGTTAAGACATTAGAAAAAAGTTAATTTGGTGTCCTACGACCACACCGTAAAAAATTCATAATTTTGGAATCATCATCATCACCACCAACAGCAACAACAAAAGCTTTTTCATTCCGTTGAATGCTTTAAAATTATAATTTCTGCGCTAAGTGGTTTTACATGCGAGTTTCCTGATGTTTAGACAAGAAAGGCGAGAAAGGCCGCTTCGAACAGCTCGTAATTTCCACTACATTTAAACACAATCCACGGAAGAATTCAATGACAATACTACTCTACTGGTTTCAATCCGGCTTGTATGGATGTATAGTCTTCGGTTGATTGCTTGAGGATGTTATTTTCATGTTACACTACGATAGCCTCAATTCATATGAAACGTGTTGTTGTATACACGCGTGCTTTTTATCGACGGGTTGGGGAGGGAGGGAGGGGGGCGGGGAGGACGAGCGCTACTACTACTGTCGTGTAACTATACGCGCGCGCGCGCACCGATAAAAGCCACGGTCAAGGTCACACGAAACGCGCAGTTCGATGATCAACACATATGGGTCGATGGTGGAGATAATTCAATCAAAACGGATCTTTCACATCCCTGCATCTGAAAAATGACTTCAAATTTGTCAGATGCAGGCGGCATTTGATACAAGATATTCTCACTGAACAAAATACAGAGTTTGCAAATGTTTTCGAGGACAGGAAGCATGTCACTTGCAAAATGCGACCACTCGAACTTTGTAGACCCTTCTAGTGACTGCAAAGTTGTATTATAATGAGTGTCGTACCATTCTTTAATCGTTAAATTATTTAAAAGTTCGACATCTTACCTGAGTGATAAAACAAAATTCCAGACAATAAAAGATAAAGCATCACAAGTACCGAGAGAGATAATATATCGAAAGACTCGCAGTTTCAAGGATAGACAAAAGAAACGATGTGACCAATTTGTGTCTCTT